TTTAAGAAATCTGTTTGCACCATTATCAGAGGTTTTAAAGGGGAACTTCACAGACGTGCGTGCGTTGGTGGGTGCGTGCGGGTCTGCCTGCGAACAGTGTGTGTCCTCAAAGTTATGTTCTGCCCTCTGCCTGTGTCCAACTGCAGCTCACACTTTTTTAAAGATCCAATCACATTCAATCAGGAAGCTGGCAGACCTCAGAGGACATTGTTCCTTTATTTATTAATCTGTGCTTTTGTTCTTCTTGTTATAAAAGTGATTTATGAAAATAATGAATCAACTTATCAGAAACCCACATGGCAAATCACATGACATGTTGCTAATTAAAAGAGGTAGAGGGAGAGAGTGAGGTAGAGAGAGAGATTTTTGTAGAGCCTTCATGCAATGTTACATAATGAACTGTACATCTTAACATTGACAACAGCTATTGAGTGATATATACCTACTTAGTTTTGTGTGCGTGCATGCGTGAGTGCATGCTTCCGTGTGTGTGTGTGTGTGTGTGTGTGTCAGCCTTTCCCTCCTACATCTAGTTCAGAGTGCCATTCTACCAAAATATATAATCAGTCTTCAGAGTTCCTTAAACAGCAGTGACTACAAAGAGCCTTTTTCACAGATCGAGTACTCTGGAATGGATCACCCATAGTCCCACCATTCTCCTTGGCCTGATGAACTGTAAGGTACCACGACACAGTTCTCCACTCCACCACCATTAGACTCACCACTCCTCCAATACCTGCAGTAGAAACAACAGAGTTAGACTGGCCTCTCTCTCAGAACCTAGAGTATGAACAGGGTGGCTCCCAATCAGAGACGGCTGTAGCTCGTTGTCTCTGATTGGCAGTCATACTTAGGTAGCCGTTAGGCATTCATTCTTTGTGGTTTCTTGTTCCGTGTTGGTTAGTGTATGTAACCAGGGACGTCACGTTTTTCGTTTTGTTGTTTTGTTCGTGTGATCATTGTATAAATAAATATGTTCGCATTCAACGCTGCGCCTTGGTCCTCATCTCTGTTAGACGATCGTGACAGAAGAAACCACCAGAACTGGACCAAGCAGCGAGTCGAGGAGCCATCGCCAGGGAAATCCCTAGCAGATCTCCGTGGCAGCCTCGACTGGGTCAAGCCGAGTGAAGAGCAGAGAGGGTGGACTTGGGAACAGTGGAGGAAGAGTCTCGACTGGGTCAAGCCTAATGAAGAGCAGAATGGCTGGAGTTGGAGGCAGAAGAGCGAGAGTTGGGCGAGAACTATAGAGGCCTGGCCCACGGGGAAGAGAGACCCCCAGAAAAATTTTAGGGGGGGGCTCACGACGTCGGGGCAGCAGGAGTCCGCGATAGAGCGGTCCAGCGGGTTGGCAGAGGAGGCCGCCAGGTTACGGGGGCCACTGGTCAAAGAAGGGAAGGAAGGTGTAGAGGCACGGCGAGAGGTACTGGGGTGTGTTACCAGTCCGGTCCGGCCCGTTCCAGATCCCGGTGTAGGGCCAGTGGTGTGTGTCCCCAGTACGGTTCGGTCTGTTCCTGCTCTCCGCACCAAGTCAGTGGTGCGCTTCGTCAGCCCGGCTCGGCCCGTTCCTGCTCCCCGCACCAAGTCAGTGGTGCGCTTCGTCAGCCCGGCTCGGCCCGTTCCTGCTCCCCGCACCAAGTCAGTGGTGCGCTTCATCAGCCCGGCTCGGCCCGTTCCTGCTCCCCGCACCAAGTCAGTGGTGTGCTTCGTCAGCCCGGCTCGGCCCGTTCCTGTTCCCCGCACCAAGTCAGTGGTGCGCTTCGTCAGCCCAGCTCGGCCCGTTCCTGCTCCCCACACCAAGTCAGTGGTGCACTTCGTCAGCCCGGCTCGGCCCGTTCCTGCTCCCCGCACCAAGTCAGCCGTTTCGTCAGCCCGGTTCGGCCCGCTCCTGCTCCCCGCACCAAGTCAGGGGTGCGTTTCGTCAGCCCGGCTCGGGCCGTTCCTGCTCCCCACACCAAGCCTGTGGTGTGCGCCGTCAATCCGGCACAGCCCGTGCCTGTTCCACTGGTGCCTGGTTCAGCACGGGTCAGCTGCTTCACGCCGGAGCTAGAGCAATCCGCTCCACCAGTGTGCAGTCCAGCTCCGGTCAGCAGGGCCAGACCGGACCAGGGGTACTTTGGGGGGTT